ATAGAAGCTGAGATAAATGGTCGTAGCRGCCTCAGACGCAGGGATAAACCTCCACAGTCGTCCCGAATTCGAAATAAACGGCCATACCGGTGCCGAACTTTGAAATAGGCCGCTGAAATGGTYCTCATCCTGCCAATAAATCAGACTGATGTCGTAATGGGAATCACGGCGAAGGTCCGAACCCGAAATAAAATGCCCCGATRCCGCCAAAACTGAAATATCCCGCCGAGGTTGCCCCGAACCTGATGTTGATGTGTCCGGACCAGAAAATAAGCGGCCGTTGTAGGGGCCCCAAGCCCGAGACAACGTGACGCCTGCCCCATACCGACTCYGAAGCCCGTCAGATACCGTAAGATGTCGCCACTCCATAACAATCCGAGCCTCTCTGAGTCACGTATCTGTTCCGAGCCAGACACCATACATACTGTCGGTCCGAAGTAGCTCTATTCCACGTCGTCCATGCGAACATCCTTGGACTGCTCAKTGAGGTTAGTTGTCAGGCAGATYGGGAAGGCGACAYAGAAAATTCTCRATCATCAGGGGTTAGTGAAAAAAAGTTAGAGTTCAGAGTTTCTAATCAAATTTAGGTTCTGAGCTGATGGTGGGTAATCCAAGCAGAACCAGGCCAGGCATCGAGTAATCATTAGTTCCTGTCTGTCTCATCATTTTTAATCTTTCCCCCCTTTTCTTRATTTTAGAGTCCGAAATAGCAGTATATACGTGAGTTCACCAAAAATAAATCCCGAGGGAGTCTTAATTAAATAGCCGAAATTCTTTTGTTTCTCCTCCTTTTTATCATTTTAAATYTTTTTCTCTATTTTTGATTTCATTACCGGTAACATAAAATAACGAGGGATTTTCCCTAAAATTTAGATGCCGTGAAAAAATAAGGAAATTAAGGGATATCACTTTTTTCTCCTTCCTCCCACTGTTCTTAATCTTTTCTCCCATTTTTAATTTCGGTACTAAAATAGATAAAATTTTGAGGCCCTATTTCGGGCCCGGTCATATGATACAAAAACGTGGCGGCGAGGTCAATTCCTGCGATGCCCCCCCGCGGCCGGCCATCSCAGGTCTAACCTCGGRAYGGGCGGAAATGACGGTCCCTAGATATGTCGGGAGCGGCTACCCATTTTGTCATCTTTGAGGGTTACTCGTAAGGTTCAGTGCGCCCAAAATCAGCGGTGCCCTGAGCCCCCCTAATTTTTGTTGTCCGGTCAACCCGGAGCTCCGTCAAAACAAGGACTTGTCTTCGAGCCTAAGCCCCAAAGCCGCAGATTTCAGGCGGCGCACTGCTTGTGGCCGACTGACAGTTAGCCCGGACCACTTCTCGACGCCCCCGTCGAGCCCTATCCACCTACGTCAGACGAAGCGGACGAGCTTCAGGGTGATGGTCCGTAAAGGGCGCCCACGTCGGCGTTCAATTGTCTTATGTTTCAGTTTGTTATGAGTCCTGGGGCTAAGAAGATGCTTCTTGACTTTCCTGTTTCCTCTGGTTTTTGGCCTCGGCACGATCCTCTTTTTCTTCTGTCTTTGCCCCGAGAAGGGTGCCGACCCGCCAGTACGTCTAACGCGAACTCTCCGTGTAGCCCTCTTGAGCACGAATAACCATTTCTTTTCTCTTCCTAAAGCTAACCCTTTGACCTTTCTTTTCTCTATTCTTTTCCTCTTCTTGGAACTCTCCCCTGCCTCGAATCGCCTCGAGGGGGCTCCATCCTCCATTCGGGTTTTCCCTTTCCCTTTCGGGCTAGTCAGCGATAAGGTGGGTGTGGGCCTGGATCTAAACAGCTTTAACCTGGCACCCGCCACTGGGTCCTTCCACTTGGATCCGTTTAATTATGCTATCATATACGCACCCCAGTCGAGTGCCTCAACCACTCTGTAAGGTCCCATCCATCTGTTGACGAGTTTTCCGGTTTAGGTCCTCTCCAGTGCTGCGTCGTAGAGAAGGATCATATCTCCTGCGCTCACCCTCTCTTTCCCGATTCGCACGTTCTTATCCCGTCTCTCTTTACCCTTGTCCCTTTCCACTCCCAGACGATCTGCCGCTATCATAAGGTTATCTTCCAAACCGTAGGTTATCTGTCTTGTTCGGGCAGCTATGAGTTCCTCTCGGGATATCTCCTCTGCCCAGTCGACGGTTGTCCAGTTGTCGACGTGAAACTCTATGGGGAGTGGATAATGTCGCCCAAACCAGAAGGTGTATGGAGGGTATCCGGTACTAGCCTGGACCGTGACGTTGTCCGCCCATATCGCGTATCGAAAATTTCGTGGCCAATCATTGTCCTTACCCTTGCACCACTTGGACAGTGACGCTATCAGAGTCTGGTGGCCCCTCTCTACTGGGGAGTTCGACTGTGGGTGATAGGCGGTGGCTATCGAAACTCTTGCCCCGGCTCTCTTGAACACACTCTGAACCTCTTCAGCTAGAAACTCCGCCCCTCTGTGCATTACTATCTTGTTGACACAACCATACCTAGATAAGTACTCTAGGACGAAGTTCTTCACTTCCTTTGCCGTCTTACTCCTGATAGGTCTACCGTCCACGAACCAAGTGAAATGCTCACGTATGTTAACGACATAGTTCATATTTTTTACTCCTTTCGGCATCTTCACCAGATCGATGTGTACCTTCTCTCCCGGTCTGGTGGGATAGGATGGATGGAGAGGCTCTTTGTATTTCACAAGAGCTCTCTTCTGGCATTCCTCGCAGGTCATACAGTACCTCTCGACGTCCTTATACTGTCCTTCCCACCAGTACAACCTGCGTACCTTTTCATAGGTTCCTTTGACTCCCCTGTGTCCTCCGACTACCTCGTCGTGAAGCTCTGCAACTATCGTCTGTCTCTCCTCAGGGTCACAGACTACTCGTAAGGGCATCCCCGAGCCGACCGGCCTTCGAAATAGATGGCCTGCTCTGAGGCAGTATTGCGCCGCTTGTCTCCGGATATCTGATTCTTGACTCGCCTCTCCTGACAGGTGTAGCCCGATCGTTAGGTACTTGCCCTCGTAAAGGTTAACCCGAAATCGTTTGGCGTCTCAGCTACTATCGGGCACTCGACCTCAAGAGGGATGCGCGAAAGCCCATCTGCCACGACATTTTTAGTGCCGGATATCCTCTCAACTGCGTAATCATATAGCCGAATCCGTATCAGCCATCAAGCAATGGTCGGGTCCGTCAGGCGAAAGTCCTTTTGGAGGACAGAGGCAACCGCTGTGGGATCTACTCTCAAGATGAACCGACACCCATAGATATAGTGTCTGAACGTGTCCAAACACCGCAGAACAGCTAACACTTCCTTCTTGAATTGACTGTAGCTTCGTTCTGTCGTATTAAGTGTCCTACTCTCAAATCTTAACGGTGTTTCCTTCCCTTCAGCGTCCTTATGAGACAACAGCCCTCCAACCGAACAAGGTCCAGCATCCATGGATACTATGAAGGGTCTCTCGGCCTCATCGTCAAAGAATGGCACGCCCAGTATGCGTCCTCCCTCCTTAAATTTGTCCTTAAGCTCTTGCATAGCGAGTTCCTGTGAGGAATCCCAGCAGAATTTTTCAGTCTTTCGTAGGAGTAACCTCAATGGCTCAGCCTTCTCTGCATACCCCCGTATGAATATACGCCAGTAACCGACCACTCCCAGAAACTGTCGGACCTCGGTTGGACTATGTAACGGTGACGGTCAGTTCAAGAGTTTGTCTAACTTCGATGGATCTGCTCGGCGTCCTCTCAAGTCGCAGATAAAGCCCAAGATCTTAATAGTCGAGACGGTCCATCGGCTCTTTGTTCCACTGACCGTTAAATTCGCATCGTCCAGTTGCTCGAGTACCGCGCAAATATCTGTTAGGTGCTGCTCGACAAATCTTCCAACTCCAGGTACAACCTCTGTCTCATCCTTGTCTACTGGCCCTTTTATAGGAAAGTCATCCAGAAAAACTTCAACCTTATCAGGGATTAAGTCCTTGAGGACGGCTACCATGGCTCTCTGAAAAACGGTCACCCCATTAGTCCAACCCATAGGGACAACCATCATCTGTATAAGTCCCAATGGCGTGTGCATAGCCGTGAGGTGCCTGTCCCTAGGATCAAGCGGTACCTCATCATAGCCTGAGAACAGATCACAGACCGAATAAATTGACCTGCCTGCGGCGCCTTCAGCCAGTAAATCGGCGTGTGGCACGGAGCCCACGTCTCGTATCGTCACCACGTTGACCTTCTGAAGGTCCTGGATCCATCGGATCTTGCCATTCGGCTTTCGTAGGAAGAACTATCGATTTGCATAAGCGCTATCAGACGGTTCCGTAACATGGGAAACCATTTTTTCCTTCACGAAAGCGATAACTTCTTCTTTCTCCTTCTGGGCGTATTTCCATCCTGCATCATTCCAAGGAACATGTGGAATCGTATTAATTCTTGCTGGCTTTGCGTATCGAGGGTCAACCCTACCGCGCTCCGCGTCGCTGAAGGCTATAGCCTTATCGCACGTCTTTAGGATGTCTATCACACGTTCTCGCTCTTGTGGGGTCAGATTTCCATCTCCGATGTTCATCCCTGCTATTCTCTCTCCCGTTAGGCGTTGCGGCTCCTTCTTCTTTCTTTCTTTGATTTCCTTTGCGATCTCTTCTTCCGATATCCCTTCTAGTGCAGATCGCTCGCGGCCCACAGCCGCTAGCTTAACTTTTTGTGCTACTCGCTTGTGTAGCTTGGGTAGCCCCCCATAGGGGGCGGTGCCCTTAAAAAAGACACAGATACCACCCCGCCAAATTCCTCATCTGTCTCCTTTGGGTACGAGTTGCCGTCCACTATCAGCCGACTCCCTAAATCTTTCACCTCCACGATCCGACCCTCCTCCTCTATGAGCAGTGGTCCGTACTTCTTCTCACGAAATCGCACCGTGCGGCCGGAGATAGGTAATGACTTAATCTAATCACTGGGTCTTGCTCCCACTGCGAGAGCTTCTCTGTTCCTCGGGTCCCGAGGCTCCACCGTCTCAATCATAACTCGCGTCCCATCTAGCTTCTTAATGGACAATGTCTGGCTCCCATCCGGTCACTCTATCGTCACCGCGTGCACGTGGCTCAACCACGTTCGTCCCAAGAGCAGATCGGAGCTGCAGTTCTTGACTGCAAAGACAGGCAGGGTCACTCGTACCCCTTGGACCTCTATGGTTGCCTTGTGACAAACCCAAGTGATCTGTTGCTTTCTCCCATCAGCAGTCCTTATTTCGAATAGGTATGACTTATCGAGGTCCAGTCCAACCTGTACTGCCAGATCCTCGTCTATAATGACAGCCTCACTGCCGTTATCGATCACAGCATCTAGTACCGCTCCATCGTTTATGATTGTCTCCACGGCCCCACTACCAAGTATGTAAAACTTGTTTGGAGGCACACCTTCCATCCCATCAAGAAGGACTGTCGCCATGCGATCCGCTCTAGCAGGCACCCCCGTTACTGCTACGGTAGAAGCTTCCGCCTTAGGAGCCCCCTGAGCCTCCTCTGATAGAGGTACACGAGTCTTCCGCGTGATCATCTGTAACTCATCACGAGCCGGCTTCGATGCCGCTAGGTACTCCAGAATAGAGCATTGCATGGGCTGCCGAAGGGCCCGTCTCAGTGGCTCGACCGTGTCAATCTCATCCAGCGAACTCTTCATCAAAAACTTCTTTACTCCCCACTTTCGCGGCGAAAAAATAACCTCCTCTCCATCGATCCGTTGTCCGCCATCCTTCTCCGCCATCACGTAATCCGTGTCGGTCTTCTTCGATATAGACCCTCCCGCGGACTTGGTAGCTGCCACCCTTATGGGTGTGGTCGCCATATCTCCTTCGAAAGTTATCTTGATGCTCTGGCTCCTAACCGGTTCCTTTCCTTTACTCCGCTTTACTCTCCTTGCTTCGACATTCTCCTTCATCGAGGGGAACATCGATACATCTCCCAGATCATCTGCCCATTTGACGTATTTGCGGTCATCAAGCACGACAAGGCCTTCATTTATTGCTCGTTTGAGATCCGGGCAATCTCTCTTGATATGATCATCCCCCCTGCAGTAAACGTAAGAGTTTCTGGGTGTGGGTGGCCTGTCGTCTGCGCCTCTGGAGGTCGAACCTCTCGCTGCTCTCGGGTCAGGGAACTTCGGATACGGGTCAGCCGAAGCGCCATATCCCCCTCTCTCATTCATGCCGCGCGAATCATTGCGGCGGTCTCCGTATTCGTATCGCCCGCGTGAATCATCGCGTTGGTCCCCTCGGTCGTACCTCCCGCGTGAATCATCACGTCAGTCTCCTCGGTCGTACCGCCCGCGTGAATCATCAGTCCGATCTCCTCTCTCATATCTGCCGCCCCTGTATCCGTCTCGATCCGACCTCTCATATCTGTCGTCTCTATGCCCATCGCGGTCCGATCTCTCATATCTACCATCCCTGTATCCGTCTCGATCCGACCTTTCATATCTTTCATTTCTACGTCCATCGTGGTCCGATATCTCATATTTACCATCCCTGTATCCATCTCGCCGGCCCGGATCCGACTCCTATCGGCCTCGAGAGTCGCTTCTACCCCCGTCAGGCTCATAGCGAGGGCTACGCGAGTAGTCATCCAGTCTCCTAGCATGCCCATACATCTCGCGAGTCCTACGGTCCCGGTCTATCTCATCATCCCTACGTCGCCATGACTCATCGTCTCTCTCCCTTTCCCTCATACGATAATCAGTCAGTGTTTGAGGATTTCTATCCTCGACACTCCTCCAGGAATCAGTGTTCCTCCGGTCCCAGCGAAGTGAATAGGGCCCTCCGGGCTTGTCCCCATATGCCGTGGCTCCGGTGGTGGTCACAATCTCTGTAACCTGTCTTGTTAGTCCCTTTACCATGTCCCTTATCTCCTTCACTTCCTCGGCCACGACTTCACTCTTTTCCGACCAAGGATAGTCTTTGAAATCAGRGCATCTATCGGTGGCATACTCCTTATAGAGAGAGAAATCACGCCTCCTCATTCCCCTCCATACCAAGTCCTTGTAGTCGTCTGCCTCTGCCTTTATCGCGAGCTTTAGGACTTCTGGGAAGTCAAGCTTGTCGCGCGGAAGATCTCTAAGTATACTCTTTTGTCTTCCTTTGGACACGTGTCCGATGAAGATAGTACAACGCTCGACCTTTGAGAACTTCCCCTTCTTCATCAACACGTCGGAGATCTTCTGGAAACGCATCCCAAATGCCCGTACGCTCTCATCCTCATCTTGAGTCATCGTTTCCAGGTCCTTGATGGAGTACTTGTTATCCTCCAACTTGTAAAGCTCTACGAGGTTCTTTTTGTACGTAGTCCATTTTCCATCCTTGGGTCGGGCTTCCTTAACTTCCTTGCCGAGACTTGGGTCCACATTAAATAGAAAGTTCTGTATAATCTCTTCCTCTGACCACTGACTCCGACTTGCATGAAGCTCTCACTTCTCCAGATATTTTGTGATGCCATAACCCCTAAAAGTAGGTGGCTCAGAGGCCTTGTGCATAATAATATAGCGATCCTTGCTCTCGTAAGGGACCGGATGCGACTCCCCTGTCTGGAGGTCGAAGACTCGCCTGGTCGGCACCCTGTCTCTATCTCTGTCCCTCCAATAGGAATCCCTCGAACTCTCTCGCCGGTCGTCTCTGGGCCTATCCGCCATGGTCTCCCTCCGCTCATACTTGGGGGAGCGTCGTCTCGTCGCTTCTCGTCGACCGCTCGAGGTTCCCATCTTCAGTGCCTCCTGCGGCTCCGTCACGACCGGCTCGCCCATTACGTCGGGCTTTCCGTCATTGGTTTGGTCGGCCCATCTCAGCGGTGTTTCCCGCCTAATTCGTTCCTTCAGATCCCTCAGAGCTCGGTCGGGCGATGTCCTGTACTCCTCCCCCACTTCACCTGTGGTTGGTTGTGGCCCCATCGTGTCTGGTTTCATAGGCCACCTGAAGACGCACTTAGGCACTCTCGCCGGGTGTTACAGCCCGGACTTATGACAGTTACTGCAGCCCGGACCTGTAACAGAACTTGCAGCCCGGACCAGTTTCCTTGTCATGGTTCACGCTCGTCACCACCCCTAGCTCTCGACTACCCTGATCACTACCACCAGTACTCGGTTCCGGTCACGGATCTCGTGCTCTCCCTCTATCCCAAAAATCCCTATGTCTAGGTAAACCTCCCCTTCGGGATCGGCCAACAAGGCCGCGCCTCTCCGAATCTGCAGTACACCCGTGACGCGATCTCTATGCCTGCGGCAAATCGCAGTCCCAAGCCTAGCCAATATCTCCTGATCAGCCCCTTTCGAGAGCCTCCGTGCGTTTATCTCCGTCCTCCTTGGTAGGTTTCCTAGCCCGTCATGAATTGGGTAGCTTGCCAAAGGAGGAAGCTCTCATTGTTGTCATCCAAAAGTCGCTCGCTGACCTTTCTGACCTCCACTTTCTTTCCAAGAGCTTCGAACCTCTATTTCTCCTTCTTTAACTCCCAGACGGCTATGAGGTCATCTGTCTAGTACCTGAGGTAAGTCAGTGCTATAACCACTCGTAACCTCATCACCGACAGCTCCAATAGGTCATAGAATGTCTCAAAGTCTTTATCGATTCTTTCCAATACCGATCGTGAGCAGCTAGCATCCTGAGTATTGCTCCGTCTATTACAACTCTCCCTAGCTCTCCAGCTTTCCTGGCTTCGCTTATCTTCAACTTCTCAGCCTCCCTGGTCGTCTCGTACCATGCCCTTATCTGTGGCCGCCCTTCGAAGGGTGTTACTCGGAGTACATATTTTATCCTTCGTCCTCCTTCTATTCCAATCCAAAGTCCTGTCCCCCTGGCCTCACGCAGTGCACGGTGGACACACTCCGCCTCCTCAACTATGCACAGTCTGGTATGGAGCTGGAGCTCTACGATCACTAACACCAATGGTCCGTCCAGTCTCCCTACCACATGCAATGAGTACCGATCCGTCGTGTGTAGTGCAGTCCCGCTCATNTGCAATGAGTACCGATCCGTCGTGTGTAGTGCAGTCCCGCTCATGTCCTGTCGCTACCTCCCTGCGTTACCTTGTCCTCCGTCGTCACGCCCTCTGCAGATCGCTCACTCGTTCCTTCGCGTGATACGCCTCTAGCCTTCACCCTCTCCAGAAAGTCTGATCTCCATGCCTGGATAATCTCTCTTTCTTCCCTAAATAGACTCTCCAACTCTCTCGTCACGAGCTCAACCCTACGCAACTTGTCCTCATCCTGGCACGACCAGATCTCCCTTAACTTGTTCCCCAACTTCGTTACCCGGTCCAAGAGTGACTCTTTAATGCGCTCTCTCACTCTTGCGACTGCCTCACTCTCCTCTTCCATACTCAGTCTTTATCTTTTCCCAGCTCATCCTATCACCCTTGCTCTAGTCTCCACTACCGTCTCGTCGTGGAAGTGCTCCGCACGCATATAGCCATGCGATCATATCATCACCTCATAGGAAATCGAGGTCTGGAAGGTCACCCACGCCAGTACATGAACTCTATGCTCGTGGATCAAATCTCTGGCTCGTTGCCGACACTCCCTCGCCGTCAAGTCCTCTTCTACGTACGCTCGGAGAAGTACTGTCACAGTGTACCCTGTGCTCACCAGTTGCTCTCCTACACGCATCATTGTGGCCGTCCTCCCCGGCATTCCCTAAGCTGCGGCCTCGAAGAGAAACCTCACATCCTCTAGCCCCACGTAATCGATCTCCGCTCGTTTCCTGCAGTACCTAATTAGATGGACTGGCCTCAGACAGTCCACCCAGCTAGTAACGTCTATGATGTCGTCGAGCGTCTCTCTACTGGGTGGCCCCCACCTCACACAAATGGCGTAGTATATTTCCCGGAAACGGGGCACTAAGCCCTCCCAGAGCGCGTAAAGTGTGTGGTCCACTGCTCTACTCAAACGTTCTATACTCCCATAGGTCTGCCCTATCACGAAGGTAGGAAGTCCGAATGCCAATCCTCTCTCGGGTAGAGGGTCGGGTGCGGAGGACCGTATACCAAGCGGCTCCAACGCGTCCTCCCTCCAGAGAGTCTCGCTAGTTGCTGAGTAACGATCACTCTGGCCAACGACTCGTTCCTCCACCAACTCCTGCTCGCCCCTGCGAGCGTCAGTCCTATCTCTAAATCGTGTGCTCTATCCGCTATCAGATGTCCGACCCCTTCTAGATCATGAGTCCTCTCGGGTCATTCGTCTCGTAGTATCACTGTCCAAAGGAAGAGTCCCTCTGCGAGCCACGTTCCCAAGTATCGTATCGGAACACGCCCTGTTCCTTCTAACGCCACAAGAAGTGGAATGTCATATCCAACCGCCGTCTCTCTGGGTCTCACAAGCTTCCTCACGCTATACGATTCGGACTCTCGTGAGAGAACATAGGCTAACCAGGCTACCGAGTCACTCTTCATCTCCCCTCGGACTCTCGATCAGCATCACTCTACTCCCTCCGATGCACCCTATCTCTCGACGTTGCTAACTCCTCAAACAATTCTCCCACTCAGGTCCAGTATGGTCGAGTAGGTGTTGTGCGCTCTCCCGTTTGCTCTATGGAAGTAGATAGTAAACTCGACAAACCTCTGGCTCCTCCATATCTCCAGGGCATGGTCTGTCATGAGTCCGATCTGTCGCTCAACAATCTCTAACGCCTCTCCTTCCCAGCCACCCGTCCTATCTCGTCGCAGGGAAAGAGTCACCCTCAGTATATCCCGGTCTGCCGTACTCTCCACTACTCCCTTCTCTAAACCTCACTCGGATATGTCCTGCCTCTAGTCGTCTCATGCTTCTGGCATATCCCCATCTGTGTCCTCATCTACCCTCTGCCCCCATGGGATGTCCTCCTGCCCCTATGTCATCGAAATCCTCCCAATCCCGATCCTCGGCGTACCACGCAAGACCGTCAGCCTCTGGATATACCTGCTGATAATATTCCTCAACCTCCCCGGTCGAGATGCTATGGCCCGACCTCTCCTCACGAGCCTCGGCTAGCAGCTGTCCCACACCAGCTAAATGATCAGTTGGCCTCCGAGCCTCTCTCTCTAGCGCCGTCCAGAAGGCTAGGGGCTGGTACAGAGAATACAGGTCTGGGCTCCCGGTAGGTACAATGGCCCGCAGAAACTCAATCAACTGGAGCCCTCGCTCGCCTACAAGCGGCCCCGCTAAAAACTGCGCATACAGCACCCAGTCCCTGTCAGCGTACCCTCGGCAAGGCCCGTCCAAGTCAAGAGCCACAAAGTAGATCTCACCCAGACGTCTAAGTCCCCAAAGCTCCTCCGCCACGAAACACGGAAGTGTCACACGCAGTCGACTACTAGGATATGGCAAGTGTCCTCCAATCCTCAAGGTCGTCGTCACTCCCACAACGCCCCCGTGTAGCCGCTCTACCTCGTCCCGCGTGGAGTCTGCTCTGGCCAGTAAAATCCTCTTCGCGCTCTGTTCCTCTCGCCAATTATCGTGAACGATGACGTGAAAATAGAATGTGGCTAGCACCTCCCGTGAGTAGTAAATGTGGCCCACTACCTCTATGCCAGTCGTGCCTGGTCGTCGCCACCTCAGACTGTCTAGGTCAAACGTCACGATGACATACGTCCACAAGTGTACGTCTGGGCCTAATACCGTCGATGACCATCGGCTCT